TGTGTTATGTTGATACATTCAACAATAATGTGAACTAGAAAGCTATGGACTTCGTCATCCTAATACTGCAATTTTAGGGGAAAATGTGTTCCTTTTGGATGTCATTGGTTTGTACCAGAAATATGTTCTTTTTGCCTAAAAGCAAATCCTTGTATAGGTTTTTGTGAATTCCTAATAAATGAAAAGGATCGTAATCTTGTTTAGTATGTTGTTATATCCCTGAACTTAAAAAGATTCGTACAGTTTTCTAGCGCCTGCAGCTATAAGTTTAAATGATTCGCTTTCTGCTTTAGTTAAATTAATTGTAGGTTATGTTATACAATCCTAGGAGACATCTGATTACAGATGATAAATGCGATGTGCATGACATCCTGTTTTGCTTAGAGAAGTCCTTGTAATGTCCAATAATTTTCTGTTGAATCCTATGAAGGTGTGTTCTCCGTGGATGTGTGCCGAAAAAGCTCCTTGTATATGCATCCAAATTTTCTCATGAATTTGAAGAGAGTGGTGGTTTCGGATGGAGTTATGAAGCAGAACCCAAGCATGATTGGAGCACCTTGATTGCAAATAAGAATGCTGAATTGCATCGCCTTACTGGAATTTATAAAAATATTCTGAATAATGCTGGTGTCGAATTAATTGAAGGCCGTGGAAAGGTTTGATGTTTTTTTTTTAAGTCTAAGCCATTGCATAATCTTTTTTTCTTTTGAACCAATGACCCATAACTGCTAGTTATGAACTTCTATTCAGATTGTGGATCCACACACAGTAGACGTGAATGGAAAGCTCTACTCAGCAAAGAACATTCTTATTTCAGTTGGCGGGCGTCCTTTCATTCCAGATATCCCGGGAAGTGAATATGTGATCGATTCTGATGCTGCCCTTGATTTACCTTCAAAGCCTGAAAAAATTGCCATAGTTGGGGGTGGCTATATTGCACTTGAGTTTGCTGGCATCTTCAATGGCTTGAAGAGCGATGTCCACCTATTTATTAGGCAGAAAAAGGTGTTGAGGGGTTTCGATGAAGAGGTTTGTTGCCGTACTCTTAACTATCAGAGTACACACTAGGAAAACAGCCCTACATTTTTTGTCAAGTCAGAAAAGAAAAAAACCATGCGGAGGTTTTAAGTGGAGAACAAGAATAAATATTGGTATTAATTTGAAAGTTTTTTTTTTGGTTAGTGACCCCACCTCTAGAGGTAAATTTTGGTGCTTGGAAAAAATGCTTGTGAAATTATTTATTTGTGAGACAAGTGATTCAACTTGTACTTTGCAGATCAGAGATTTTATTGGAGAGCAAATGTCATTGAGAGGAATTGATATTCACTCGGAGGAGACGCCTCAGGCAATAATCAAGTCATCAAATGGACTCCTGTCTGTGAAAACTAATAAGGGGACAGTTGATGGTTTTTCTCACGTCATGTTTGCAACAGGACGCAGACCAAATACGAGGGTGAAGACCTATTCTTTTGAACTTAAGTGTGTTGTCCACTTCTCAATTTTAATTGCAGCATTTATTTAGTATTCTTTTACCCAATTAATTTAAACTCAACTATCATTTATGGTTGATCAGTGAAAATTCCTGAACTTTCATGCGTATTTTGCAACAGGATTTAGGTTTAGAGGCAGTTGGAGTGAAGATGTCGAAAAATGGAGCCATAGAGGTATTGTCTATTTAAGTCATTTTGATCCAGTTACACTCTCCCTCCGAGTCAGCTTGCATCTACATCTGGACAAATAATGAGCGATTATGCTTTCAATCTTGAAATGCTTACTCAGGTTGACGAATACTCACAGACTTCTGTTCCCTCCATTTGGGCTGTTGGAGATGTTACTGATAGAATAAACTTGACACCAGTTGCATTAATGGAAGGAGGAGCATTGGCAAAAACTTTGTTTGCCAATGAACCAATAAAACCAGATTACAGGTTCTATTTCCTATTGTAGTCGGATGAGTGGTTTTTCTTTTTTCTTTTTTCTTTTTTTTTGAAAAAAAGAAAGTGTAGCTGTTAATTAAAACTCAAAACACAAAATATATTTGTCAACACAGTTACTTTTCAAATGTGAATATCTGTAAGAACAGGATAGACAAACAAATGCATCAGTTTATGTGAAAATGGTCAAGCTTCCTTTTTCCCTAAACTCATGTCTTTCAATTGCAGAGCTGTACCATCTGCAGTTTTTTCTCAGCCACCCATTGGCCAGGTTGGTCTTACTGAAGAGCAGGCCATCACAGAATACGGTGATATCGATGTTTATACATCGAACTTCAAGCCTTTAAAAGCTACTCTCTCTGGCCTTCCCGAACGAGTTTTCATGAAACTCATTGTGAGCGCAAAGACGAACAAAGTCATTGGTCTGCATATGTGTGGAGATGATTCGCCTGAAATTGTTCAGGTGGAGTCCACTAGTTATCGTTTTGGATTGTTTTCTATGTTGTACAACGTCTTTATCCTTTTCGTTTAAGTATCAATGTCATTCTGAATCAGTGATTTTACAGGGATTTGCTGTAGCCGTTAAAGCTGGGCTGACAAAGGCGGACTTTGATGCCACAATCGGTATCCACCCCACTGCAGCTGAGGAGCTCGTCACCATGAGAACTCCCACACGCAAAATTCGAAGTAAACCGTTAGAGGTAAGACAGTTTACACACTTCTGTAATAAATATATTCGCGGGCGACACACATTGGACAACAAATATATCCGTTCAAAACGAGTTTTTTGGGTTAACCATGGTTAATTTTGAAAAAAGTTAGTATAGTTAATTGTTAGCGAGATTTTGAGTTTAAATTAAAATAATGTTTAAAATAAAATAATTAAAGTTGATTTGATGTAAAAGTAAGAGATATGTGATGTGAAATGATGGTTAGTCAAATAATTGATTGGTATTATTTAATTATATTGATAATATTAAAAGTAATGGGGTTGAGTTAAAGTTGAGTTAGTTTTTGAATTAAGATAAATTTATAAACAAACACCCCTTAATTGTAACATTGTTTCGTATCATTCAGGGAAAATCGGATTCTGATATCAAAGCTGCTGCCGGTGTTTGATGCTATGGACAGAGCAAACTGAGTCGTGCCGTTTCTGAAAGCAAACCATACTTCACGGTATGATATGTAATCCCTTCTCTAGACAGTCGTAAGCTCTACCAAAGTCTATAACTTTCGCATTCTTATGGTTTTAAAATATTTATTGGTTTGATTTGCATAGGACGGCCCCACGCCAAAGACGAGCTATATAGCTGTAGAAAAAAACTGAGTTTTTCTGTGGGCATTTTTTGAGATGTAACTGCCAGTATATCTTCTTGAGTTTTTCTATAACTATTATGTGTATTGGTATGAAGAGCTATTTCTCTCCCTTGTGTTGTTACTTTTCTTGTAAATGATTGCTCAACAATGTCACAAACATCATATTTAATGACTTGCTAGTAACTATACAATATACATAGATAGATTGTGAAATACGATATTAAATGAAGATATGACATTTCATAATATAAATATATATTTTTTTAAGAAAGGATGGTTGTTTTGTTGTCTAACATTTTTTTATTTTCATTTTCATTTTTTTTCAAGTTATTTTTATCGGTTTTGATTTTTATTTCCGAAATGTCTGAATTACCTGGACTGAAAATTTATTACATGTAAATATGTAATGTAATATAAATATTAAAAGAAAATATTCAATAAATTGTCATTTATTTTGATTAGTTTGCTTAGGCGGTAGAATTAAACAACCGGCTTGGTTTGGACTTTTACGAAAACTGGCCAGTTCGGTGCCCATAAATGACTCAATTATTTCTGATTTTGTTAAGGCTGTGTTTGGTAGACAAATAAGTTAGTTTATAATTTATTTGGTTGGCTTATAAGCTCCCTGTATTCAAATAAGTCTCGTTTGGTAGGACGAGCTTTTTTAAAAAGCTCGAGCTTATTTGAAAAGCTTCTTTAGGTAGCTTTTCAAATAAGCTAGTTGAATTTTTTATTCCAGCTAGCTTATCAGCTAATTTTACCAAATATTTTTATCATATAAGCTAGCTTTTCAGCTATAAGTCATAAGCTATAAGCTATAAGTTCAAAAATTACTGAAAAACTATAAGCTAGCTTATCAGCTATCAACTAGCTTATCAGTTAGTTTTACCAAACATAGCCTAAGTTTGGTCGATTTGGTCGGGTTTTTTATTTTTTCCAAACGATAGACTTTCATTAATATCACATAATTACAACACATAGAACGACCAAAGTAGCCGAAGCCGACAACCAAATGGCTGAGATGAGAGGACATCCCAAAAGAACCTAAATGCCACAACACACCCAGAATAACACTGAAAAGAAAACGAAACTTCTACTAGAGGAGAACCCGACTCCTACAAGAGGAGAAACAAAACTCCCAAAAGGGTGATCCGACACAAACGAACAAACACCAACACACAAAACAAAAACAAAGCCAAGACAACACAAACACACGAAACACAAATTCACGCACAACACACATCACTAATAAACTAAACTAGAAAAGAGCCCTCCCCAAACGATCGAAAACTCTTCTAACACCTCCAAGGGAGGCCCCAAACGAGGAACCCGGCCAATCGCCCGAGCACGAGCTCTAACCAATCCAACAAACGGTTGGTTAGAGCAGGGCTGACCAACCAAAGACCCCGTCCAGAGGCACCACCCTTGAGCCGCTCCGGAAGACCAGCCTACCATGACAGCCCCCGCACAAAACCGACCTCGGTTGTCGATACCACCAAAAGAACCTGCAACCACCACCGTCAGACCCGTCTGTCTCAGCACCAGAGGTGACTCGGATCCAGGGGAGCACCCGGTCGCAAGCCTTGGACCTGACCACCACCAGCGCAACAGACAGGAATTGTAGCAACGACCATCTTCACCGCCCCTCGAACCCCTGCAAACACCACCATGAATGAAAAGGAATTGAATCTTCTCCATGGTAGAAGGGCCTGAGAGCGGGTCAGACGACCCTTGGCCACACCGGCGCGAGTCGTCTTCTCGGCGGAGAGGAAGAGCAGCGGACTAAAGAGGAAGCAAACTTGCAGATTAGGGCTAGCTACATAGGAGAGAAATTGGGGATCAAATTTAGAGAGAGAAAAAAAAAATAAACATTTAATGTTTGATTTATGGAAATATATCCTTGATTTGGTCGGTTTCGATAAATGACTTATTGAATTATTTTGATTTTGGAAGTTTGGTCGGTTTCGATAAATGACTTATTGAATTAATTTGTTTTTGGAAGTTTGGTCGATTTGGTCAACTCAATCGATTGACTTCCGCTGGTTTTTGCAATTATTTATTTCAATATCAAATAAAACCTAGAAGGATAAATAAACAAATAAAAATTGTAAAGTTTTTTATGATCGGAGAATCAGGGTGCAGTTTCATGCAGTGAAGCGCACCATAGAAGGGTGAGTCTATGTGCACCTTAGTGAGGTCATCCCAAAATCAGTGGCGATTGGAGGAACTAGTCTTATAAACTAGGCTTATTTACCATATCAACTCAATGTGAGACGACTCACAAGTGATATTCTAATAAAATGAAGTAATACTTCAAGTGAAATGTTTATGCATATTGTAAGATATAAGAAGAAATAATTACAAATTTTAAATGTGAAACTTATAGCAACCAAATGGTTATACTTAATGAAATCTTTTAAAACGGTTTCTCCTACTCATTGTTCCATCTCATTCTACATATGAATGATTCTTAAGAGGATTAGAACTACCACATTTTTTTACCACAATATTTTATCTCGACATTAACAATAATGTGCCAGTGAAATCCCACCCAACACACACGAATAATATTGCGCAAAATAATAAACTTAAGAGATACTACGATTCCATTACGAAACCTTTTCGTCAGGGTTTGTAACTGTTAGATCAATTATCCTCGGTCGTTTAGCAAAGCCTTATTTTCAAAAACGGTTGGCTATAGCCATCAAATACTACATCTCAATAACTAACAAGGACTTTTCATGCAATAATCCAAGCAAAAAATGGAATTCCACGTTATGCCTAATTAATGCTAAAATCCGACTTTTCAGTGTAAAATCACTTCTCTTCCCAAATTCCAAGGCAAGAATCCTATAACATTAAGTGTCATTTAGGACTACCAAGTACAATTAAGATGTGAATTAAACTGCTAATTACCTTGCTAAAAAAAACTTTACAAATTGCATCTTCACATAATCCAAGCAAAAAAGGGAACTCGACGTTATTGCTAAAATTCGATTTTTTTTTTTTTTTTTTTTTNTTTTTTTTACTGTAAAATCACACTCTCTTTCAAAATTCCATGACAAGAATCCCATGACAATAGAACTACCAAGTACAGATTAAAATATGAATTAAACAAATAATAACCGTGTTAAAAAATGCTTTACAAGTTGCATCGCTCATATAAAATTCACCGTGGTTGACTAACTTGAAAATTGTATATATTTTTTTTTTTTTATATATACAGGATGCTTAATTGATTAATTCAGTATGTATAAAGGACTTTTCTCAAAATCGGCATAGCCTACACAATCATATGATTTTTGTTAACAACAAATTTTATTAGTAAAATACATAATTACAAGCACGGTTGACTAACTTGAAAAAGCTATACAGCTGAATTCAGAGAGGCCTATAACTTGAAACAGCTATACAGCTGATATTGTCCGAAATCGGTGGCCGGTCTTGCGGAATGTTCTTACCAGTTACAACGTTCGCTCACTTGATTTAGTCCGGTCCGAGCTTGAGTGTTCTCCGGTACCTGAAAGCGCACCGGAATTTCTCCGGCGCAAGCCCTCCGACGCCTAAGTTAGGATCTCGGATAGAGAGAAATTATCTGTGATAAATGTTGTAGTAGAATATTAAATGATGTCTTACCTTCTCCTCTAGAATTTATCATATATATAGTGTTCAATTGTACAGCCGCGTAGTAATCGCCATCACTAAGGGTCGAACCCGAGTTGGCGTTCGACCCCTTCTCACAGGTCAATCTTTCACGGGTCGACACCTCATGGGTCGACTTCTTGCGAGTCGACATCCCACGGGTCGATCATAGCTCCATGATTCGGTCCTCCAGTGGGCCGAGTTGGCTTTACACCGTGCGCTCCTACATGTATCGGTCGTCAGGCCGGTGGGTCGAGGGTCTAAGGGTCGAAGGGGTTGAGGGTCGGGGGTGTCGAGGGTATAAGGGTCTAAGGGTCGAGGGTCTAAGGGTCTAAGGGTCGAAGGGTTTGAGGGTTGGGGGTGTCGAGGGTATAAGGGTCGAAGGGGTTAAGGGTCGGGGGTGTCGAGGGTCGAGAGGGTTGAGGTCGGCCGAGCCGCGTTAGGCCGAGTCGTGTTAGGCCGAGTCGATATTGATATCCATCAACTACTCCCCCCTATTTACGAGTATGCGGGGCAAAGCTCGAATATTCGTAAATACAAACATTTCGGGCGTTCTCGAATATATATTTATTCGGCTTTCGATGCTACGTCTTCCTTGTAATTTAGTATTGTCGCTTGTCGCATGCTTACCGAACGCGCTTCGAGCCAGCTTAGTGTTGAGCCCGGTTAAAATCGAGTTGAATTATGTTTGGCCAATAAAAAGAAATCACCTCTCTCTCCTACCAAGGGTCTATGTGTTTCACCCTTTCGGACCAATAGTCTATATGTTCTACCTTTTGGGCAAAGGGTCTATGTTTTCTACCCTTCGGGCCAAGGGTCTATGTGCTCCACCCTTTGGGCAAAGGGTCTATGTTTTCTACCCTTCGGGCCAAGGGTCTATATGCTCTACCCTTCGGGCCAAGGGTCTATGTGTTCGACCCTCGGGGACATATTTGACCATATGAGCCAATCAATTCTACGGCCCTCTTCGACCCCCGGCTCAATCTCATGGTCCATTCGATCCCGATTTCATGGGTCCTTATCCGGTTGAGTCGAGTCAGTACTAATATCCCTATCAACAGCTGAATTCAAAGAGGCCTACAAGACAAGAACGCTAGTAGCTTAGAATAACTTAAACAAAACATACTCAAAACTACAAAATAAATCAAATACACTTCCAT